AAAGAGAGAAAAGCAAAGAAACTTCATTATACCCCTATATGATGACACTGGGCTGGAAAAAGGTATGGCTGCTTGGCCACACAACAGTAAGGGAGAGGAAGAAAGAGACAGCGGCATGCTGTATTTATTAGACCAGAGCTCCATGTTCTGGATAGAGCTAATAATAATAAATGGCACATTTTTGACCCTGGGATTTTCAGGGGCTCACTCGGGGCTCTAGCCCAGCTCAGCCCCTCTCTGCTGAAGCTCCTACTGGTAGCTAAAAAAAACATGCAGAAAAAGTAAATTAACATACTTCCTATGTGTGCCAAAGTGAAAAGAAAATCTGCCTCTTTAATTCTGTAATAGGTTTTAGTACTGCATAGTCTCTCCCCCCAGATTGGTGGCTGTCTGGAGAAGCTTTCTGAGAGCATCTAGGCATATAAGAAAAAGGGACAGATTTGGAGTCTGTCCTGTTTCTGCAGGCTTTTGCACATTTTTTGTATTCTTTTAAAAGGAATTTCATGGGCCTCCCATTGCGTTAACATTTGGGCATGAGTGATGGCATGTTATTGGTCTGTCTATTCAGGGGCTATCATTGCCTCATAGGACTAAGAGGTGGGGTTACGGTGTCCACAGGAGAGAGAAGCAATATACCACCTTGGAACTAGCACAGAGAAAGCACAGCAGGAGCAGCTCCTGGTCCCTGTAGCCATAATTTTATTACAGTTTTCTCTCCATCAGTAGCCTTCCTAAGGTCTGATTAAGCAAAGAAAAGTAAGAAAATATATAAGTATATACATAAAGTCAGGGAAGCCCAGGGAAGGGAATGAAAATGGTAGAGACATTTATGTCACAAATAACTTTAATATCTACTACTGCAAATTGCATAATGTAGGCTAAGCATCACCAGTGCCTGCCATCTTCTTTAAATGCTCAGTCACTCCACAGAGACCTGATGCACTCATGCTATAGTTGTAAAGCTCCACACAGAGCTGATTCTGATAGTTTTCCATGAGAGCTGAGCTAATAGTGAGTCAGGAGTAGCTGACATGTTTCATATGAGCAACAGCTGCAGCAACATTTACTAGCAAGTCAAAGATGTCAAAGCAGGCGTGTCGCATATACTGCTGTATGAGTCTCTATGAATCTGACTGTTTTTATTTTCTCCTATCTGGGACTTCTTCAAGAAAATGGAGGCATTTGTGGCACATTCATGTTGTCCTTGATTTATATTTATTTGTACATTCATTTTTCATTGACATATGAAGAATAAAATTGCAAGCATCATAAAAATGATGTTATTTTGCATGATGCATGCACCATACAAGAAAAAAATATGTAACGTCTTTACAGGCTAGGAATTACACTTTTAAGCATACTGTGATGTTCAAGTGGCCATTCCATATTTTCTAGGGCCTTGTAGAAAATATATGAGTCCTGTACGTGTCCTCAGTTGACATAGCTTCTGCATAATCTATGACGGGAAATGTGTCCAAACATAGACATCTGATAATCTGTATTTTGACATTACAATCAGAACTAAATACATATTCATTGTCGAACAGTTATATGCAGTCACTCTCCTGTCATTATCTACACACAGTCTTTAGTGATCCTTCAAGAGATCTGTAGAAGGTCATGTTCCATGGATCTAGAACCTGTCACTCGAGAACTAAAAGAAAAGGGTATATTCTTGGATATTTTACAAGTGTATACAGAGCAAGTATAGAACCCTTCTCACAAAACTAGGTTTCTTAAATCATGAAGGTTGTTGGTTTCCATAAAACTGTTCATGTTGTTTATAGTTACATACAAAATTTTAAGGGGAAATATTCTCAGATGTCTAAAAATGTGCGAAACTTGCAGAAATCATCTATGTTTGAACACTTTTATACAGTATAGTGTGTAATATATTGTGACATACAGATACTGTTAGGATATATGGAAATATATTCAAACCACTGGGTGTATCTGTTTTTAGCCCTACATTTTACCTGCAATGCCACAGTATCAATAACTAATCGCCGTTGCCCAGATTTCTTGTGTCTTAGCCAGTGGCGTACCTAAGGTATGGCACCATTGGCATTTGCGCTGGGCACCACTTGAAGGGGACACCAGTGCGGGGTCGTGCAGCCTGGAGGTTTGGGACTGAGTGGAGAGTACTAAATCCTGACAGTGTAACAACTGAACCCGAGCTCAGCTTACAAAGTCAGGAATGAACATCTCATCTGTTTCAGCATGGCCAGAACTTCAGAATCAGATGAGATGTTCGTATGTACCAAATGGGGCCAAATGTGGCGGGGGACGAGGGCAGAGGCATACTAAAGTGAAGGGGTACAGAGGGGGGCAAATCATTGTCACTGAGTAAGGGGTGGGAGCCACAGGGGCTGGCCAGTGTTGGGAAGCAGGGACTCCTTCCTGCTTCCACCCTCTGTGCTGAGCAGTTTTCAGGCAGTGCCGGTATGTTACTGAGCACCCACTGCCTTGAAACAGTTTAATATGTAGGGGAAACAGTGCCTAATTAAACCTGGTGACCAGTGACCATGGCATGCTCTTCTCTTCCCATCAGTGTGCCATGTTCTTGCGGCATAATAATTTAATATCCAGGCAGCCAGAATCGGCAATATCTGGGGACAGTCTTGATAAAGGAAGAAGACAGGCATCATCAGCCCAGAACTGGCACAGGGCATCTGATAGAAAATGTGCAGTGTGTGTTTGTATTGCCCAGTTTGTGTGGGTATGTGTATATTTCACAGTGTTTCTATAGGTTTCAGTGTGTTAGTGTGTGTAAGGAGGGATCAATAAGTGCCAGTGTTTGTTTAAGTGTTCCATTGAGTATGTGTATGTGAGAGCCTGTGTATGAATCACTGAAATTGTATGTCTTTGAGCAGACAGAGAAATATATATAGATATTAATTTTTAGTGACACTCCAATGGCCAACAGATTGTAGCCCATCCGCTACGTCAAGGCAAACATCTTAGGTGGGTCATACACTAACAATTCACCTTGCTTCCTTCAGCTCCAGGTAAAAAAATCTCTAATGAGATAAAGAGGGGTATTTTTCTAAACCCATACATTCTTAACCCCTAATAGGGAAGTTTTAAGACTTAGATGGAATTGCACTAAATTAGAAGATTATAAAGAAGAAGTAGTAATTTAAAATGTCTATATTTTTACAAAAAAAGATATGAACCTGCAGAGAAACAGGTTAAGAGGATAGGCAACATTTCTTGGAATATAGGGTCAAAACAGGGGAACAGGAAGAAGAAAATGGGGAAATGCCAACAATTCCAATTTACGCAGGGTTATCCATGAGAATTGGCACATTAAAAAGATCAAGATATCAAGTCTTCTTTAGGGAAAAACTCAAATGGGTATGTACATGTTAGAACTGAAACATGGAGCAATATAATAGGGTTGCCTGGTCTGATAAATCACACTTTCTTTTAGATCAGGTAGATGAACAGGTGCGTGTGCGTCATTTACCTGCGTAATAGATAGCAGTGGTTCCCAACCCACTCCTCAAGTATCCCCTAACAGTCCATGATTTAGGGATTACCCAGTTTTGTCTAAGGTGTTTTTAGAAAGAAAGAAAAAAAAAAACATTAGACACAACAGGTAATCCCTAAATCTTGGACTGTTAGGGGGTACTTGAAGGACCACTCTAGGCACCCAGACCACTTCAGCTTAATGAAGTGGTCTGGGTGCCAGGTCCAGCTAGGGTTAACCCATTTTTTCATAAACATAGGAGTTTCAGAGAAACTGCTATGTTTATCAATGGGTTAAGCCTTCCCCCTATTCCTCTAGTGGCTGTCTCATTGACAGCCACTAGAGGCGCTTGCGAGAGCACGCAAGCGTCCATAGGAAAGCATTGTAAATGCTTTCCTATGCGACGGGCTGAATGCGCGCGCAGCTCTTGCCGCGCGTGCGCATTCAGCCCAGGAGGAGGATCGGAGGAGGAGAGGAGGCAGAGAGCTCCCCGCCCAGCGCTGGAAAAAGGTAAGTTTTTAACCCTTTCCCCTTTCCAGAGCTGGGCGGGAGGGGGTCCCTGAGGGTGGGGGCACCCTCAGGGCACTATAGTGCCAGGAAAACGAGTATGTTTTCCTGGCACTATAGTGGTCCTTTGAGGACTGGGTTGGGAACCCCTGCACTATGGGAAGAAGGTAGGCAGGCGGAGGCAGTGTTATGCTTAGGGCAATGTTCTGCTGGGAAACATTGTCTCCTGGCATTCATGTGGATGTTAATAAGCTTGATCTTGTTAACAGCACCCCCTCCAAAATACACAAGAGGCTTTATTTGCTAAACACTGAACCGCAGTGAATTTAAATCAAATTGTACAATTTACACAAGATAACGTGACGGTGAGTTAGTGTGTGAGTTAAATACACAAGAATAATTGTGAGATGAATATATTTGAAACCTCCATTTTGGATTCTGTTAAAGGAGCTCTCTAAGCACCCTAACCATTACAGCTCACTAAAGTTGTTGCAGCACTGGCCAATGCATGACATCCAAATTTGGACAAAATTGAGATTCCTGTTGTAGAAGTGGAACGAGCAGGGCTGCCATCAGAAATGTTGGGGCCCCTGACACAGCTCAAGGTCTGGGCCCCCCGGTGCCTGCACCCGAGTCTGCCCAAAGTGCTGCCCCTCCCCAAAATCCGCCCACAGGGATGCAGTGTCTGCAGGACCGGTGCAAAGATTTTTGCCGCCCTAGGCAAAAGTAAAGTTTGCCGCCCCCCCATGTGACATCACAATGCCCCACCCATATGATCTGCCATGTTAACTAACACTAGTGCTGCGGTGTTTGCATTAAAAGGCCTGCAGGGACAGGCTAGACACCAGAACCACTACATTAAGCTGCAGTGGTTCTGGGGACTATAGTGTCCCTTTAATGTGAGGTAAATTAGAGATTAGTGCCACGAATAATATACTAGATTGCCTACTTACAACCAGATGAGGAGGATGATGGCTCTAGCTGCCGTCTGGCTCCACTGGTCTGGTGTAGAACAGGCTCTCTGGAGGCGGTTTGTAACTGTGGTCACAAAAATCAGTGTTCTGGGAGAAAGGGAAGCAGCTCCATTTTTTTGAGGGCCCTTTACACAGCTCAAGGTCTGGGTCCACCTTCATGTTCCACCAATGAGTTTGTTCACAGGGAGTGGAGTGTGTGTGGGGGGGATGTCCTGATGTGTGTAAGGAATGCATTGTGTGAATCTGTGTTTGTATGTGTAAGGGCTGCAAGATGAGTTTGTGTATGTATGGGGTGTGTGCGTCTGTAAGGGATGCATTGAGTGTGTGTAAGGGGTGCATTGTGTGTTGCTGTGTGTAAGAGATGCATTGCTTGTGTACGTGTGTCTGTGTGTAATGCATTGTGTGTTTTTCTGTGTGCAAGGTGTGCATTGTGTGTGATGGATGTCAATCTCTCCCCCTCCCCCCCCGTCAATTTCCTTCTCTCCCCCTCTCCCTCCAATTTCCTTCTTCCCCCTCTCATTTCCTTCTCTCCCCCCTCCAATTTCCTTCCTCTCCCCGTCCCTCAAATTTCTTTCCCCTGCCCCGTCCCTCAAATTTCCTTCCCCTCCTCCTCTCCCCTCCAATTTCCTTCCTCTCCCCGTCCCTCAAATTTCCTTCCTCTCCCCCGTCCCTCAAATTTCCTTCCTCTCCCCCGTCCCTCAAATTTCCTTCCTCTCTCCCTCCCTCAAATTTCCTTCCTCTCCCCCCCTCCCTCAAATTTAATTCCTTTCCCTCCATCCCCTCAAATTTCCTTCCTCTCCCCCTCCCTCCCTCAAATTT